TTCTTTTAATCAGAAAAATGTCAAGAATTAATTGGTAAAAGTTTGATAACGAAAAAGTCAAAAATAAAAAAGTTTTATATTTGCATTGGTATTGTCTCACGGATACACTAATACCCGGGTTACGTTACATTTCCCGGCGAGCGAACCTCGGGCATCTCGAGGGGTCTTCCCCCAGTGGTGGGGATAACATTTTTGCTTATATCGGAAAGGACATTTTTGCTTATATAGAATGAACACTGTATATGGCACTCGTCTGCGGTACGGAGAAACAACACGTGTGATTGCGTTGTCGAATAACCGAACAATACTGCCAAATAACTTTATTAATATCAATAATTACTGTTTCTCTTTTTTATTTCTGATAACCGAATTTACCGGATTATTAATAAGTGGGTAACATCCTCTACAATATAATAAAATACAACTTCCACTAGTTTTGCTTTCTTAATACAGGGAACAAGATCTTTAACGTGTTGATTATTTTAAAAGTTGAATTTGAAGCATCGCCGAAATACACATATACAGAAATCGAAGAAATAATAGCAACAGGATGTATCATATATCAAGACACCAGATTAACAATTTTGGGGTAGTTAAACTGCACATTCCTGCACTTTCGCAACTACTCTACGGGCGAACATGTGCCTTTGTTACGATTTAATGGACAAGTGTCGTGTTTAACGGTTTACTAGGAATAGTTGAGTAGTTACAACGATGCATGTACTTTGTACAAAGCGGCCACTTGCAAGGAACAGCTTCAACAAGGGAGTTTGAGAAATATTCAAGAAAGTTGTTGCAGGACAATTTTTATGTTGGAAAGTTTGATGTATTAATATGAAGTAATTTATGAAAGTGTCATTTTCTCAATATTTTATAAAGTATACACTCTTTTACAACAACACAAAATCGCTTTAAATATACAATTTGTTGGGTGAAAATAAACAGATTGTAAAACGAAACGTAATGACTTATTTGAGGTCATACTGCAATGTAACATGCAGAACAAAATTAATTCTTTCTCCATAATAAATCAATGTCAAGAAACGAAATAAAGTAAATTATACATGATCACATCCATTTAATTTCATATCCACTACAGTTTTTCAGTTCTTCATTCATACTATTATTCATATTAAAATGAATTTATCAAATAATTATTTTATTTATAATAAAAAAATAAAACAAATTTGTAAATAATAGAATATATAAAGAATAGAAATAAAATGTACACAACATCCAGAATTTATTTCTTGACATTAGTGGAGAAAATATAATAATTACAGGTAGACATATATGTAGGATGGGAGCAAGAAGATTAGAAATGGATTAAAGTAATAATAAAAATGTTAATAAATTGGAAAGAATACAAAATTGAAGTAATCGATTATAGTTCACGTTTCCACGGTTCGGTCAAGACAAGACTCTCGCTTTCGACGCTGTCGCGCTTTTATATATTTCGCATTCGCACTCTTTTGTTTCACACTCGTACATCACACACACACTCATACCACGCAAAAATTAATTGCCCTTTACCGAATCCCACATATATTTTTAACCGACTTCGAAAAAGGAGGAGGTTACTCAATTCGATCAGTATATATATATTTTTTTTTTATTATTATTATTTTCTGTGTTTTTTATTATTATTTTTTTATGTGTTTTTTTTATTATTATTTTCTATGTGAATACTTATGAACAGTAG